CACTTGTCAAGCACCCTACCAGCAGCGTCCCACAAGACCAGACAGCTAATAATTGGCTGTAGACAAGTTCAATAAATTTTGGCCAAGCAAGTGTTGGTGTGGTGAAGACAACGGGGGCTCTGGGGACAGAAAATCAGGTCCTTTTTTCAACCCATGTCAACAGTTCCTAAGAAATCCTTGATCCTCTTTGGCCAAGGACTGACTAGAGGTTGTAAACCCTACGCACTGTCCCGGTACACCCCGTAAGGCCCAGCCCACACCTTCCGTGAACCCGGTCCCTCTTCCACTGTCATGCCCGAGGCACCCAAAACACCTCCTTTCTCCCTTCAATCCCCGTGTCACATGGAGTCATTTGCCAGCCCAAAGGACACAAATGTGACAGCACTGCAATAGGTGACGCCGCAGCAACCGGCCATAAAACCTCTGAGCCACCCACTCCAGTCTCCAGCTTGTCTCCTATCCTCGAGGATTATGAGGAGGGTGGAGGTGTGGTGACGGCAGCGAAACAGCATAGCGGAGGTATAGCCGCCCCCTCCCGACTGCATCATTTCCTGTATCCATGGCGATTCGAACAAGCCAACACCCCTACTATTAAACCCATCGTTCAGAACGCTGGGGATCCCATGGGCCTCTTACATGCTCACAAACACACACATCGCTGAATCGCAGCACAGTGTCCCCTTCTGCTGTCGGTATGAATATGCCCCTGGTTACACAGTCCTCGGTACTGGAATTTAAACCATGTCGGATTGTTATTTTGTTATTTTGGCTTTCTGTGGAGGTTCTGGGCTGTATTAGCTACCGCTCCTTTCAGTGGTCTTGCCTTGCATCACAGGTTTGGATCTCACAGCCAATTTACCAGTAAATGTCTCCCTCTGGCTCCCTTACTCAGTACTCATTGTTTCACTGGCGCACCACTAGCGCATTTTGTTGGTTTTTTTTAAGGTTAGCACACATATGGAAGTGCGGGGAATCGACCGGGCCGGGATCCTGAGTCTACAGGAGAACTTTTTCCATTCCCCTTCTGTAGTGCCAGCTTATTGGCTGGCTTTTAAAAACACATCATTTTAACCGCTTTCGTGTCAGCCTTGCTAACTTTACACACTTAAACGTGACACAAATCACTGCTGGCCCCCGCATGCTAATCGCTCCGTGGGTGACCATGTTTGAAAAGGCCATGTGTACAAATGAACTGACCTGACAGGAGCGGTATGTGGTCGTTGTCTTGTGCCAAATTCGGGTGGAGGGGGGCAATCAGATGGCATTTCAATCTAGGTCTACCCCACCGCATTACCCCCCCCTGGGACAAACACCTGACCACTTCAAACCTCACAGGAGACCAAATCAACTGTGTTTCATTTCAGGTAGCGGTTTCAAAACGGGCTTTTAGTTAGAAGTTGAATGTCGATTACCTCCGTTCCCTTGTGTGGTCTTTTGAGTCATTGATGCAAGTAGGCGATACACAGTTTGGGTTGGTACCTACATGAGAAGTCTGTCTAACTTTTGACCGGGGAACTCGTGAATCGGGGAGCTGAGTAATTTGCTCTGGAGAATAACATCCACTGAGTACCCAAAATTCTTTCCACATGGGTAAACATCAGGCTCCTCTGGTGCTTATCCATTTGTCAGCAAAATGATTAATGTCACCTCAGCATTAGGAAGTACGTTGGCACCATTGGACCAGCTCCAGAAAAATCACTGAAATCTCCCTGAAATCTCACTGAAATCAGCAATGAACTCTGACAATTATTCTTTCAGTATAACTGCACCTTAATTGATTTAAGAAATTAAGAGGGGTGAAGCCTTCTGAAGGCAACAGTTATTTCTGGCCTCTGAACTGAATATTTTAATATCGCATACAGAAAGATTTAAAGAAACAGACATTCTTTTTTCCATCCATCCATCCATCCATCCATCCATCTTCAGGACATGCTGGGGTGAAGGAATGACCCAATGAGAACTTTCAAGGTATAAAGACAAAATGATGCATATCATATCTGCGATTTTTTGGTAAAGTATTGGGATATATTTAAATATGCATTCCAGAAAATAAATGGTTTGATATTTGAACTTTTTGAATTTTTTGTAAAGGAATTGAATTTTGACCCTTTTCAGCAATGATTTTGTTAGAAATTTGTATTGAATATTTAGATATAGGAAATAATTTTTTTACTTGTTTGAAAAGAGTTACAGTTAAAAGGGTTAGTAAACAATAAATAATAATCAACTGTGGCAGGGAGCTGGAATTAGTGAATGCATTGTAAAGTGTAAAGCCAATATGACACTTTTCAGTTTTAGTGTGTGTGTGTGTGTGTGTGTGTGTGTGTGCGCGCGCGCGCTCGGTGTTTAACGACGAGACTGTACAGTGCACTGGTCACCAGGTTGTCGATCATCACACGTACGACAGATTACAAAGCAAAGCAGAGGGAAATTCATATAGGGAGCGAATTACTGGTTTTCACCAGAGGCAATAAAAGGGATTAATTTCGCCTCGGCTCGCAGAGCGAGCCGCGTCCCAGCTGTGAGTAACGTGTAGCGCGGGTTAGAAGGAGGGAGACAACGGAGCATCCCGGCCCGGCATTAGCGGGATCCCAGATTAGCGAACCCCCCGAGGTTCCCAAACCGGCGGTCCGGTGCTAATGATAACGAGGATGCTTTACTGTGACAGTCAGAACGTGGACCATGAAACCACATCCCAGGAACAAGACACGGTGGTATTTAATGAGGGGGAAATTACCCACAGCGCAGAAACACAAATTAATACAGAGGGGCGACATCGGCTGGTACAAGCGCGATAAGCTTCGTTCCTAATTCATCATTCTCATTTCCAACCCTGTGCAGTTTCGGGGTCTCGTCATTAGTGTCTCTATTACAGCTCTCTGGTCGCGACTCGACCGCCCACCCCCTCCACCCCTGTCTCTAATTACGATCGGCCCGTTTACGTAACCGCCGCTCGTCTCCCTTAGAAACCCGACGAGTTCTTCAGAACCCGTCCCAGTGGGGAGCAGAAAAAAAGTAGACCGAACACGTAAAGGCACGAGAGGGTTTTAATCCTTACAAATAAAAACAGAAGGAGGGGGGGGGGGGTGAGATGTCAGGAGCGAAGCAGTGGCTTGCGGCACAGCGAGCGCGTGTGATCAGCATTCCCACGGCAGATCCTTGGTGTGCACCTGCAAACGCCGGCTGGTGAGTGAGCAGACCGACCGCAGGACCGGAATGCAGATCTCGGCACATGCGGGACAGCACACTCGACACAACCGCCCACACGTGAACGTGTAGTGACTGGTTGAGGCCAACAGGGGGCTCCCACTCAAAAGGTCACTTCAGGGCCCCCAGTCTCAGCCTAGTGTACTGATTATTTGTAACCACCAGGGGCCCCCCAAATGCACGGTTTGACTGGCGGTAAGCACCGTCGTGTGTGATACCTGCACGCAGTGCATCCCGATCAATGCGGCTGATTACCATCTACAAACACAGCTGAGTTTACACAGCACCGCTAAACCACAGCCCAATGTGGGTCTATTACCATACACATAATAACCTAGGATGGCACCAGCCGTGCAAATGATGACAGATCAGCAGCCATTATCATGCTGCTGGACACCTTACAGCTGACCCTGTATGACATATAACCACGGCGGTGATGCACTGTTTATACAGGGCTTTGCTGAATTTACATTTACATTTCATTCATTTAGCAGACACTCTTGTCCAAAGAAGCCTGCAACTGAAAAAAAAAAATCAGGTGTTAAGGGTCTTGCTCAGGGGCCGATAGTGAAGTCACTTGGCTGTCCCTGGGACTTGAACCAGCAACCTTCCGGTCACAAGCACAACATCCCAACCTGCTGAGTCGCACACTGCCCCCAGCTATAGTATATATGATCCTAGCAGTTATTCAGACACAGATACAGAAAATACCACATCTTTTGGGACCGAGGATCCGGGACACTAAAATCTGTTACCATTGACTCATTGTATGGGTATAGAAATAATTTCAGATTCTGGCAGATGGAGTGGGACATAGGGTTGCAAGATAGGGTTATAGGGTTTTAATTTCAAACCAGCATTTAAAAAGGCAGAGGGGGATCATCACCCCCCCCCCCCCCCCCCAATTTTGATTTAGTAAAAAACACATAAGCCACAGTCCACACTGACATGTGAAATAGAGTATGAAGGACCTTTCAGGTATCATGCCACCCACAGTCCCATACGCAGCATCAGGCACCCAGAATACACTGTGCCCACGCCCGCACCGGCAGCAAAGCCGGGCACCGCGATTGATGGGGCGGACAGGGGGGCGTGTCCCGAGGCAGCGTGACACCCACCTGAGCCGGCTGCTCGCTAGCAAGAATATCCGGGTTCCTGGGTCATGAACTCCCACGGGGTGTTTCTCTGGAGTGGGTGGGGGTCATTCCCCCAGGCATCTGCATATGGCAGGAGATGGGGAAGAGCCTCCCCCCACCTCTAAGAGGGCCGAAAGTGGGATTCGGTAAAGGAATATCCAGGTACCCTCAGCGCAGGTCAACACTTTTCCACAGAAAACCTGAGTAAGACAATCCAGGCGATATGGCTTAACGGGAAAAGATATGATGATTCCCTATGTCCGACGTCCGATACAGTTTAAGCTTCTAATTAAGATTAAATTTAGAGATAAACCTGGACCTAGATGATACATAATCGGAATTGTGTACTTAATTGCCGAGAGTTACGGTTTACAAACACGGTTCAATATCAAACCTCTTCTCTAATATGACATGCCGAAGTTTCATTTCCATTCACTTGATTTTCTCGTCAAAATGAAGATGGAAATAATATTTGCCCAATAGTCCGGCTGGATTTCCTCGACACTACTCACAAACCCAGATAAAAATGTTTCTGGCCCGAAACACATCCGTGGCGCTACGCGTAGCCTTTTTTCCACTCCTGTTGAGTGGGTGTTCACAGTGACCCCCCCCCCCCCACGCCTCTCCATCCATCCCCACCACAGTGGCAGTACTCACCGAAATGCCGCTATTTGCCAGCCCTGTCTCCGGTCCCTCGTCTGCTCACGGACCCCACTGTCCGGCAGGGTTTTGGGGTTCGGCGTGTGAGTCACTTTCAACACCAAATGCTACGGCTTAACAAAGAAAGCGGCCGTCGGCGATGCACGGTCGCGGACACGTAGTTCGCCTCCTTCCCCCGGCTGATCCTGGGAAGGTGCAGCCGCAGAATACCCCCCTCCCGCACCGCCGAGATCCTGCCCCGAACTCCGGTCATATTAACACCCCCCCGTCAATTAACAGCACAGCATTNCCCCCCCAAGTGCGGAAAATTGATGTTACCTGCGCTGCATCCAAATTCCCTAAGATTGGCTGAAGCGATGATTCATATCTTGGAGATGATAACTTGTAAGTAGAGGTAAAACTGTCACTTTCTTTTTTCCCTCCTTTTTTTCTTTACTTCCCTTCGTTTTCTGCTGGCACCTTCATTCAAAACCGACGATCCATTTCTTCCAAAAAAAACTGACAGGCGTTAAAGAAAAATAATAATTTGTGGACAAACGTAAAATTAATATAAACATGGGGGGAAATGAAATTAAGGTTGGTTGGCATTTGTTTAGAAGGGGATTGAACAAGTGCCGCCGAGAGTCGCGGCAGCATGAGCGTGGAGAGGAAAGGAAGCCGCAGGAGGCGCGACTGGGAGGCGAGTGAGTGATGGAGCGGCTGACTGGAAAGACGCTAACGATGCACTCGCATCAGCATCATGGCAAAGAAGGTACGAGGGTGGGATCGAGGGAGGGAGGGAGGGAGAGAGGGAGGAGGAGGGTGGGATGAAGGAAGGGGGATTTGTTAACAGCAGTGATCTCCCCCGGTCCGTCTCTCGGTGCATGGAAGAAAAGAAGAAAAAAGCGTTTTTTTTGGGGGGGGGTGAAGCGGAGACTGCAGAGGTTAGGGGGGAAGCTGAAGACCCCCCCCCCCCCGCACCAGCCGATGTCGGTGCTTATATCGCGCTGCCCAGTGATCTGAAGGCATGCAGCCCATTTAAAGCTTATTCCGGAGCAGGAAAGGCTGTAGACTGATTAACAGATGCGGTGCTGTGTTCTGCATCGAGTACTGCATAAGCGCTTATCGAAATGACAAATCTCTTTAGATACATTCGAATTCCTCGATAATGATGCGCAACAAAATTTAGGGCGCATTCGAGGTATTGCGGGCAAACAGAAGTAAGCGTTTCCGTGAACTATTCAAATAGTTTGATACGGAAGATCATGCGGTGGAGTGAATATTTTTCATCACACATTAGTTTACCTACTAAAAATGGTTTTTGACAATATACACCAATTGTTCCAAGGAAGGAGGATTACAAACACCCGAGATTTTTATTTGATGTATTGTACTACCAAAGTTTTTGTGTTGCCGTGGAAACTGTGAAAACGGGCGATTGTTATTTGAGAAAAGCGGACAAGGGTGTATTGACTAAATAGTGAAGTGAAGAATAACTTTCTCGTCTTCTGTCAAGACGAGGACCCGACCATCTGTTCACACACGAGAGATACTGTCAGTGCCGGCAACCCGTTACGCGACATAGGCTGTGGCCAAGGGCGCCATCTCCTGCTGAGGGCGTCCGTTTACCTGCAGCCAATTTCGCTTTGCCGCAGACAGGGGGCGTTGGCGGCAAAGCCTGCCTAGGGCGCCGCATGGCTTTCACCGATACTGGACTCGGCAACCCCCCAGCTCCGATACTCCCTTGTCCCACCTTTAAAGCCACGTGTGCCTCAGCAGGCTGAACCTCTGTGCCGGTAATCAGTGGCTGCTCTTCACTGCCGGGCTTGTTCTCATGTGTGTCTGCGTCATGAAGCAAGATGAAGGATCAATATAGTGTCATTAAACACAGTGCCTCAAAAATATTGGCAAACCAAAAAAACTGATGGAAGCAAGATTGTATAACGACCAGTGAAGCCACTTAGGATAAAACTCCAGACCTCTCAGCTGGTGAGCAAAGTTATCTCCTTTATTCGAGCAATGCAGCAATGCGCTCCTGCCACACTCTGGTACCAGGTACCACGAGCACGTTGGTAAAGCATAATTCTTAGTTCCAGATAAGGACTTCTAAGTCCTGATTGGTCATGAAACAACAACAAACTAAGCTGAAACTTATAACAAACACAATTCTCTCGCTCTATTGGTTTACCTTGTCAGCAAGGTAAAATCCACCCATTTTGCTCAATTTACCAGATCATGTCTCGACTGCTAGGCTCCAACATGAGATATGGATATAGATATTGGTTATATTGACATTGAATCACTGCAAATATTTGGTTGTCCTTTGATTAATGATTGGCGTTTTGCGTATGGCCTACTGCGACTACTTTATAACTACAACTTTTTGTGCACCAGTTGGGGCAGCTTCGAATCTCTTCTTGCAGGTGGTTTCCCCCCCCCCCCCTGCTTGCTCCACTGTTCGTTTCTCCAAAGTCTGATCTCTCTTCTGGGTCTGCGGAATCAACCACAGGCAGGTCACACAGTATTAAAAACAATCTCTTCTTGCCTAAGGCCTAAGATTAACAGACCCACTATGCCTCCCCTCCCGAGCCAGCCAATGTCCAATTTCCTTTCCACACTCCCCGCTTTTGAACACGCGAGACCCAGGCTGTTCACAAATAATCAGGGTCCAAATCACCGTATTCTTCTAGATGAAAACGTAACGAGGTGAAATGGACCGGTGGTGGTTGGATGGAACACGTGTCTCCCGCGGAGTTGGCGTTGCTGGACACAATGATGACAACTTGGGGCTGTGGGTCGTAGAGCCAAGCAAGTATGGGAGGATCATCCACCTGTGAAGCAGGGGAAGCCCGCAGGAACATAACAGATTTTGCCTGGGAAGACAGAACACTAGAACAACACCTAAACAGCAATATGATTAGTAGCAACACTACAAGCAAAAGCAATATACTGAATACTAATGATTTGAATACCCTGGATAATCCTGGAATCAGTGAGGAGAACCAATTGTCCCAGCTGTACCCAAACAGGCCATGCTCCTTGTGTATCTCAGACATCTGTTTGTGTACCACCTCCTCCAGATCCTGCACAGCCTGGGAGGAATCAGGGAGGTACGTGCGACACTCTTTCCCCAACCAAAGCACAAACACCACCTTTCTCAGCTAATAGGAGGTCTAACGCCATACGGTATTGCAGAGCTACCTGCTTAACTGCGGATAATTCACCCTTAACGGCCTTCACAGTATCTAGTGTTTGATTGGTCACTTTTTCAACTGCAGTCTGCAGGGCAGCCACCTCTGTCTGAAGGTCTGCTACACCAAGGGATGGAATAAACCACAAACCATTGCTCAGTCCGACTAAGAGACCGTGTGCTGCGTGAATATGCAGGCACAGCCGAAGACATTCACACTTTAGGCAGCACGTGTTTAGCGGGGACAAGATAAGCTTGATAACAATACCAATCAACTTTCTCCTTTGAAAGAGACAAAACAGTATAACCCTTAAGAGCGTCTTTGCCACCACAGATAAACACAGAACGTGGCGGCACCACTAGCAGAGAATGACCAAGGACAGAGGAGTTAACATAAGCCGTACGGTGTACAGGTGGGGAGGAAGGGGTTAAATGCTGGGTTGAATTAAACAGTCGGAAACACAGAGTCTCATTTACTGGGATGACCGCCAAGCCATCCTCCGGCAGGGTCACTTCCTTCGCCATCACACTCGTGTCCGACGGACAGGACGCAGCAGAATAAGTACAGTTACCAGGACTTTGTCGGCATCGCAGAGCCGTTACAGTCAGTTCTCGAACCCGCGCCCCGTAGCGGTCCGGGTTCTCACCCTGCTCTGCTTTACCAACATCCCACGTGATAATTACCTGGGCTGAACAAACCCATCTCTCTCCTGATCTATTCATGCCTAATAACTTTGCTTTAACTGAACTGTTGTGAAGCCCCAGTGATTTGACTTATCCTCCTGAGTCAGATAGAGATTTTGATTGTTTTCAGCATACTCCTGTTCTAGTCAGTCATGTGTGGCCTTGAGGGGCTCTTCCACTGCTCGTGACTTAAGAGCAACACCAGTAATGTGACATATAGGTGCTGGTGGAGGTTAATGACCCCAGCTCGCGAGTCATAAGCCCAGCCATGACGGACAAAGAGCCGGAGCATGTTCGATTTAGGGCTGCCATATGACGATAGGTGTACGGAATCCCGTGGAAGGGCCACGTCTCAGAGGTGTGGAGCATTTAATGACAAACCCAACAGTCTGAATCATTCCGCTCGGCAGTCACTGCTCGGGCCAAAAGCTCCACAGCATTGGCATCCATCACCTCCCGTTTCCCTCGATCCAGAATCTTTCGTGGGTTTGGCGCTGTTGTAGTACGGCGGGTGACACAGCTGGAAAAAGCGGTTCTCTGAAACATTACAGCATCGATCCCGAATACAACTGTCACTACAAAAATGGTTATCGTGGAAAGGCAACACAATTGTGACCCTCTCAGGGACCAGTCGTGAAAGAACCACCAGGGTTGGACATGTGTCTGCAGTGGGCTTGGTGAACTCAGACGTCGATTCCCTCCACCTTCACCTCGTAAGGGGTCACCATAACGACCTGGTGTGGCCCCCTCCATCTCGGCGTGGTCCATCTCTTCCTCCTCAAGTCACGAACCAACACCCAGCTCCCTGGTTCAAGCGGTGTCACAGCTCATAGCGGCTCTCCCTTTGGATTCCTCCAATTGGCACGAACCTGGTCCCAGGCTGCACCTATCGCTTGCCACAATCCTGTAAGATCAGTCAGCAAATCCACATCCACCGTCTCCAGTGTAACATATCGTGAGGGAGACAAAACATGCATCGGCCTTCCTGTCAACACTCCCAAAGGAGCCAACCCTGTTTGGCGGTGTGTCCTGGCCTGCATGAATAACAAAGAGAGGGGCCCGTCGTCTCTGAAATTTTGGCCGATTTCAGTTTCAGTGTTCGATTCGTCCTCTCCACCATCCCCCCACTCGAGGGGTGATAGGCGCAATAATGCTTCCAATCAATTTGCATCCATTGGGACAATTTAGCCAGGGTCTCTGCTACAAACGCAGGACCATTGTCTGTGGTAATTTTACATGGGATGCCCCATCGAGGAATCACCCCCTTTAGCAGACATTTGGCCACACTCGGAGCATCGGGGGGGGGGCAAGGGAACGCCTCCACCCATCTGGAAAACGGATCTACAATCACCAAGCAATACTTATATCCCTTACATGGCGTTAGCCCAATAAAACCCATCTGCACTTTTGTACATATTAGTAAATTTGTAACACAGCACGTTGATTAGAACAACGAGCAGGCAGGCAGCCTGAGCTCTGTCAAGGACGATGCTCTTATGCTCGATGCTGTGCTGTACCATGGGAATCCAGGGGCCGCTGCTCACCAATAAGACGCCTCTTCCATTATTTATAAACGCTCCCTTGCTTCTGTGGAAATCCACAGCGGTAGGGCGGTATAGGGAAATACATTCGAACAAAAATGGCTGAATGAAGCCGGGATTACCAGAGATCAAAGTAAATCTCTTCGCTGTTGTTACATAAATCCACGCACATGCACAAGAAGAAAATGTTTTTGTTTTTTTTTTCGACGGCCTACTGATGCTGGAGATAAATGTAGAACTGAATTAACTGTAGCCTCTTGGAATGCGGAACATTCCAGCAAAGGCGCAGGGGGTCAGCATGATCCAGCTGACCAATCAGTGTTCTGCGATTTAAATA